GAAATGAAAAAACTAGGTGCACAGGCCGAAATAGATTTTGGCACGCAGGCCGACAAAACAAAAAGGGGCACGTAGGCCACCATCTCCTAATCATCATGATCCTCCTCGTCCTCGACGGGTTGGTCTTCCTCATCATCCTCGAATCCCCCGGGTGCGACAATACGGTCGCCTTGGATCTGATGGTAGGGGTCAGTCCCTTCAGTCACCAAATCCACGTCGAGGGTTGGCGAGCCGAAGCTAATCCACGACACTCTTGAAGCCCACCTCGACGGCCCCCAAGCAGTCGTCTTCCAGCAGCCTGATCTTCTCCACCAGCTCCCGTCAGGAAGCCAGCAACCTCTCCTCGTCGGACTCTTCCTCTGCAGGAACGAACAGACCCTCGAGCTCAGCAACCCAACTCCTCATCCCGGCCAGCTCCTCTTCCCCGTCCTTCAGCATTTTCTCGAGCTCTCTGATCCGCTCGCGGTGGACTTTGTCCTGCTTCTGATACACCCCCTGGTCGGTAACAGCTTGGACCAAACTTTCTGGGACACTGCCAGCTTACCATGAACAGTAGCTAAATCCGCCGAGGAGCACCCTTCTTCATTCAGCACGATGGCCATCTCGAACGCCCTCACCACCGAAGCCAGGTCATCAGACAACATTTTCCTCCGAGCTTCCTTGCTGACAGCTAGGATACTCTTTGCCTCTTCAAGATCCACAACGGGGACATTCCCCTTGTAAAGAAATTGGGCCGGAGGCAACAAGGTGGTAGAACAAAACACCTCTCTAGGGAGCCGTCCGTCAGGTCGATCGGGGACGTCTCAATCTCCCACGAAGTCCAACTTCGGTTGACACCATATCAAGAGACAAGTTCCCGTCTGGCCAGTCATTTCAAAATCTTGTTCTCGTCTGACCAATCTTCAAAATCCAGTTCCTGTCTAGTAGTCAGTTCCCGTCTGACTTAGCTTTTTCAAAACCCAGTTCTCGTCTGATAGTCAGTTCTCGTCTGACCAATCCTTAATATCCAATTCTCATATGGCTTAGCTTTTTGAAAACCCAGTTCACGTCTGGTAGTCAGTTTCCATCTGACCAATCTTCAAAATCTAGTTCTCGTCTGGTAATCAGTTCCTATCTGAACAATTTTCAAAATCCAGTTCCCGTCTGGTAGTCAGTTCTCATCTGCCTTAGCTTTTTCTAAACCCAGTTCTCGTCTGGTAGTTAGTTCCCGTTTGACCAATCTTCAAAATCCAGTTCTCGTCTGGCTTAGCTTTCAAAATCCAGTTCCTGTCTGGTAGTCAGTTGCCGTCTGACCAATCTTTAAAACCCAGTTCTTGTCTGGTAGTCAGTTCCTGTTTGACCAATCTTCAAAATCCAATTCCCATATGGTAGTTAGTTCCTGTCTGGATTAGCTTTTTCAAAACCCAGTTCCTATCTGGTAGTCAATTCATGTCTGACCAATCTTCAAAATCCAATTCCTGTCTAGTAGTTAGTTTATGTCTGACCAAACATCTCAAAATCTGGTTCTTATCTGGTAGTCAGTTCCCATTTGGCTCATCATTGCAAAATCCAGTTCTAGTCTGGTAACAAGTTCCCGTCTAGACAATGTTTTCAAAATCCAGTTCTCGTCTGGTAGTCAATTCCTGCATGACAGTTAATTTAAAGTCTGGTTCCCGTCTGATCAAACACTATAAAATCTAGTACTTTTCTGGTAGTCATTTCCCATTTGGAAAAATCTTTCAAAGTTATGTCCCCATTTGGAAAACTCTTTCAAAGTCCAGTTCTTGTCTGGCTAACTCTTTCAAAGTCCAATTCTCGTATGGCAAAGCACTTTAGTACCCTGGTCCGTCCAGAATCTTTTCTTTATCTTTGGTCCGCCCATAATCCTTTCACTTCTCTCTGGTCCATCCAGACTCTCTTTTGTATCTCTAATCCATCTAGAACTTATTCATTATCTTACAACTGATTCATTCCTCGGGAGATATTTCAATAAATCCCCAATGGATGGACCTATAAAAGGACTTACCATCTCAATCCCCAGTAGACCATATAATATCTTACTTTCTGTCAATTCGAATGGTCGTAAATCATATGTCGATATTATCCTTTGTTTACATTTTACCCCAGGGTCGTAGATCATACGTCGATCTTACCTTTTATTTATCTTTTCCTATGGGGTCGTAGATCACGCATCTGTCTTACCCTTTCTTTTGGGTCGTAGATCGTATGTAGATATTACCTTTTATTTCCCTAGTAGAAGTTGCCTTCCCTTTACCTTTTCTTGGGTCGTAGGTCACCCGTAGATCTTACCCTTTGTTTACCTTTTCTTGGGTCGTAGATCGCCCGTAAATCTTGTTGAAACAAGTTTGGTTCATGCCATAAATCCTCCACGATTTTGATGATAACAAAGTATTTGGAAAAATAATTAGGATCTCTAACTAGCCAGTTTGTGTGTGCAGAATAATATTTACTTGATGGAACTAGTTCCGATACTGAAATGGCTTTGGTTTTACTCTGGTCACACTCTTTCAATGACGTCTGATCAGAAAAGCAGTTGCTAGTACACTCCAGCTTAGAAGCGTGCTATGCTGCCTTTGATGCTAAGTAATGTCATATCAGTTCTGATAACATGGGACTCAATATTTATTGACATTATATTCTACAAGTTGTGTTGTACTTGAATCAGAGTTGTATCCTCTGGACAAAGGCCTTGTTTCACGGATACTCTTGTGACTGAAAGTCCCAACACTTGCTTCATTTGAAAAGAAGATGTCCTAGAAGATTTAGTTTTGTTTGTAGTCGTCGAAGATCTCCAACTTATTTATTTTCCTTGGCTATAAAAAGGAGCTGAAGATTTGAAGATCATTCAAGAAATAATGCTGCAAATACAACTAAGACATACACACACTAGTTTCAGAAAAGCTGAGTCTGTTAAGAGTTCTTACTCTTGTGTTGATTAAGAATCTTTGTAATAATGTGTTGTATTATTTGAACACCTCTGATATTTTATCAAGTGTTTTCTTTTGTAATTTATTCCTTCTCTAAACTAGTTGTTTAGATTAAAGTCTTATAAACGAGCTCTAAGCAATGTAAAGTCTTATACTCAAGCTCTAAGCAAAGTAAAGTCTTAGACATGAGCTCTAAGCAAGGTAAAAGTCTTAGACACGGGCTCTAAGCAAGGTAAAGTCTTAGACACGAGCTCTAAGCAAGATGAAGTCTTAGGTAGACGATCTAAGCAAGAGTAGTCTCAGTCAGGAGCTGATTGAGCAAGGTAAAGTCTTAGACACGAGCTCTAAGCAAGTGAAGTCTTAGACACGAGCTCTAAGCTAGAGAAGTCTTGAACAAGTGGTCTGAGCAAAAAGAAAAGTCTTATACAAGTGTGTGTAAGCAAGTGTAATCTAGTTGATTTTAGTGGAAAATCTCTTGCTTGGCAAGGGGACCGGAGTACTCTCAGTTGGGAGAGGAACCAAGATAACTACTGTGTGTTCTTTGCTATTTTACTTTACTTGTGTCTTTATTTTTGCTGCACCTTATCAGATTTGAACTCAGTTTTAGAATTTGAACTCTGGTTCAAAAGTAAATCTAACTTTTGCAAAACACAATTCAACCCCCCTTCTTGTGTATTTTTCTCATCTTTAGTTGGCATCAAAGCAAGGTCTGTACGTAATACTTAACAGTGGTACAGTTAAAGATCCAACGAGAAAAATATGGATCCTGAGGTTACTAATTCTAGTACCTCAAGGGGGATTTCCTATGATTACAATAGCTCTGAGAGAAATTATTATACTGTTAAACCTCATATCACTACTACAAAAAAGCTATTTAATAGTGTTTTTTTTTGCTTTTTGTAGCGCTTAAAAGCGCTATTGTAAAAAAAATTTTTTGATAGCGCTTTAAAAGCGCTATTATAGTACTGGTAATTAATAGCGTTTTTCCAAAAGCGCTATTATAGTACCGGTATTTAATAGCATTTTTCCAAAAACGCTATTATAAGACACATATTAGATAGCACTTTCAAACAAAGTGCTATTATAATACCGATAATTTGCTTTGTTTTTGATATCACTTTCAAACAAAGCGCTATTATAAGACACATATTAGATATCACTTTTCCATAAAAGTGCTATTATAATACGTATCATTAATAGCACTCTCTCTTCAAAACGCTATTGTAGTACACTTTTTTTTACACAAAATCATTCTTTTGGTATATATATATATATATATATATATATATATATATATATATATATATATATATATATATATATATATATATATATATATATATATATATATATATATATATATATATATATATATATATGGCATTTTCATTTTACGACATTAGAATTCATAAAATAATAATGACTAAGCAGCTAAAATATTTGAAAATAAAATAATAATGACAAATGTGATACTATATATATCTATACCACTGCCATAATAAACACAGAAGGAATTGTATCTATATATTAATTTGGATAAGAGTACTTCAAACTAAAATATTTTATAAACACAGCTAAAATATTTTGCCACTAGTTATTAATTTGGCTAAGAGTACTTCAAACCAAATTCCAAACAAAAAGTACAATCACTTAGCTAGGCGTATTCTCTAAACTAATGAAAAAAACATCTAACAAAACAAGAAAGGACAACAAAACAACATCAAGTAGCTAATGTTTAATGATATTCCAAAAGAACACTATCCTGGAATAAAAAGAGGATCCGTGGCCTGGGTTGGTTCTGGTCCAGAGTTCTTCATCAGCCTTGCTATTCACAAAGAATGGAGAAACCAGTATACCATCTTTGGCTACGTTCTATCTGAAGACTTGCAAATTTTAGAGAAGCTTATAGGACACTTTTGAGAGGAGGGATAACTGGACTTCTTAACTCTTATAACAACATTCATTTCTTCAAACGAGAAGCAATGATTTTCATGTTTTTGTTTTCGGATTATTGTACAATACATAATCAATATTCTTTCTATGATATAGGAAAACAAGAAGCAATGATTTTGCCTAACTAGCTAGCAAAGTGGTTGTATCTTTGGATGTAGTAGTGCTTTGGTTCGCAAAGTGTTCTTTTGGAATATCATTAAACATAAACTCCTGGGATTCCAATGTTCCTTGAACTAGTGCAAAAGGAGGTCCAAATGTAGCCTGCGTCATCATTAAAATTCAAAATATTAAACTAGAACCTTAGTGATACTTAACCGCATAAACTCTAATTTCAGAACATGGTAAGTTTCACGATGAAACTGACCTTTTTAATGTGGTTTCCTTTTGCATCCCAAAATCGTCCCCGACTTTCTGCTCGACAAAACTGGCAACCAACACAATGTGACAATGCCAACAGTTCAAGAATGTAGGAAACAGATTGTGGAGCACACTCGGGCAAAAGCTGTTGCAATGAAAGTTCGCAAAAGGTTTAGGAAATGATATTCATGTTTAACTCTTGTAATAAAATAGATAAAAACTAATTAGGGTGAGAACAAAACTTTTCAGTTTCAACCTATCTAGCAGATATGTAGAGAAATACTTACCTTTATGCGAAGAATACCATAGTCGGTTTCCAAGCCAACAACGCCCTAAAAGTACAAACATATATTGAAAAGATAAATACACAGTTCAAAGAATTAGAGAAACAAAAATACACATGTAACAATCAAATAGCTAAAAGAAGTACACAAAGAAAGAACAAAAGTATAATGAGAGAATATACTTTGAGTGCATTATCATGAACATAAAGCATACAAAATTCATGAATATATATCATGTTCTCAGAATGAAGTGGTTCAAGCATAAAGTTGGATTCTGAAAACATTGTTGAGACAGATACATATCTCAAACAAATATTTTCACAACATGTCTGAGAGAAATAATTACAACATGTCTGAGAGAAATATTTTCACAACATGTCTGAAAGAAATAATTTTATAAACTTACTGTGGTAGACATGCTGAAGCTTCTACGAAAATCATGGGTGGTAGTGGACCTAATGGTGGTAACGCCGGAAGTTGCGGCATTGGAAGTAGTGGCGGAAGTGGTGGCATTGGAAGTAGTGGCGGAAGTGAGGAGGTGAAGAAACTGATGGTGTCAATGTTGGTGGCGCCAACGTTGGTGGTGGCAAAGATGGTGTAGAGGCTCGTTTAGAAGATGTTGAGCAATATTGCATAGGTTGAGGAGGCTGAGCAAGAAGAGAATCAACAACATACATTTCCATGTCAAACATCCTAAACATAAGTCTAGGATTTTGAGCAGGACCAGAAGTCTAGGGTTGTTATACTTTCTAAATATTTGGAGTGTCTTAGATGAAGGCTGCTGCATTCAATTTTCACTGTTGAGGCTGCACAGTAGAGAAATACAAAAGTTTGAACCATATAACAAAGAAAACATTTAAAATCCAATCACAATTTTTCAAAATCAAATGTAGTACCAGAAAACGTTTCTTGTAAGTATCAACAGTTTCTTGAGGATCCACTTTTGTCTGTGTATAAGCATCAATCTTGTTCAGCTCCTACAAAAAGAAACATTTTCATTCACAAATGAGTTTCTCTTATGTCTAAAGAGATAATACTCCTGCTTCCTTTATAATGCATTACTGTTTTTCGTAATGAAGAAAGTTTCTTCTAGTTTAGGTTGATGATTATTGTGAATAAGAACCTATGAAAGTAAACTGATACAATTTTCGTAATCAAGGTAAGAAAATTTATACAAGCGGTTATTCTAGAGTACCTCAATCCATGTTGCTAGTTTAGGTCTTCCGTCTGTTATGTCATACTTGAACAACTCAGCAAGGACAATGTGGAATCTTTTTACGAACTGAATGTACACAATATCCACCTAATCACGTGAACTTTCAAATTACATATGGAGAGAAAGTCATAGATATTACCAGATGCATCATATAGAACATTATAGAAGTCTACCTAAAAAGAGTTAAATTAAAAATGAGAATGAAAATTTATAGAAGTCTCCCCTTGATTTGATTTAAACTCACCAAACTAAATTCACCAAGAAGGAACGGGCCATCGTCAAATATACCAAGGGCATTTTCCAAGTATTCAAGAGCAGAACCTGATTTAAAATAACCAATTTAAGTATCAATTAACATTTGTGTGAAACTAAAATGTTTGAGAAGCTTCAACAACAAGATAAGGTATAGATAATATTTCTAACAGTATATAAATATTAGAAAAAATGACGACTAACACAACAAGCCTGCTCATAAATCATGTGCAGTCCAATAGCAGCAGTGTGCTATGCTCACCAAATAAGAAAATCCCACACGGTAGAGCAGTGCAACTTTAACCATAATCCTTATCTCAATCAACATCCCTCAGTGTGGTTTCAGCAACATCACCGAAATATTGTCTTACTCAAAAAGTCAAGGACACAAGGCGACACATGAACACCTAAACTTTTCAGCCTAACACGAACAGACCTAACATGCATACATGGGAAAAAATAATGCTACAGTTACAAATACTTCATAAATCATCTTGGAATTGGAAACAGTAAATAAGTATAATAATTTGCTTTTGATGCACTGTGAATGTAAACTTTTTTTCAAATTTAAAAGATACACTAACTACTATTTTTTTCTTTTTCAAAATGCTTACCATCCAAAAACAACTAGCTTCACGTGATCTGACCAAGGACTTGACAAAACTTGGGAATTCTTGTTGCAAATTTGATCGGAGTCCTTCTGCTTGAGATGTTATCGTAGAATTGTCGTCTAAGGGATGCATTTGGAGATCTTCCTTAGCTACATTTGGAGATTTTCCCCTAGCCACATTTGGAGATTTTCCTTCTATGTTGAAAAAATAATCAGTATCATGTATCATAACAAAAACAAAACTTTTTCTCCATACTCAAGTATTGGCATAATGGGCAGATAAGATATTTCTTCTAGTAGCATGTGCATCTATGTTCAAAACCATTATTCCTTTTACAGAAGAGTTTACAAAATCAGGCACATTCAGAGTAAATTCATTACCCTCAACATCCAAGTCACCGCATCCTACAACTCGGAGATCTCTAGCAATTTCTTGGGTATTTTCATACGCCACTGCCGACATTCGAATATACTGCATCCTCAAACCAAATGCAGATTACATTGAGATCATCCTGTAGCCTAAACTAGCACTTAGATGATAATAATGAAGTCAGTTAGTTAATTATACTCACGAATAGGAGCCCACCTTCCTCCATGGAAGGTAAATTCACAAGAGATGGTTTAACTAATAGTTTGTCCAGAAGGGCAGTGACTCGCTGCTCTAAAACACGTTGTATACAGAATAACAGTGAAAAATTACAAGTTCATGAAAGCACCTATTCAAAGTCACAACAGTAGGTGAGGATCATTTTATGGTACCTGAACTAAAATTGACATAACTTCACTGGGTGAAGGGAATACATCAGTGATTGTTGCAGTCTCTTTACGAATAGTGTCTGCAACAAATTACCTGTCATCACTGATTCTTTCAAGAAAAAATTGTTTCTCTAACAGAAGAAGTTATACTTCAAACATGTGATTTCTTTGTACAAGGAGGCAAGCCCGCGAGCAACATTATTAGGACTACTTTGTTACAACGTCACTAGTTACAAAGTATCCTAAACTAATTCCCAGTAAAAACCATACAAACAACCACAGACCTCACGACAATACAATTTCAAATCCGCTTGGATGTCATTGTTGGTGTTGCAAGAGAAAAACCAATGGTCGGACAGTCCCCCTCTCTACTGCTTGAAAATCAACAGATTTGTTAGCGTAAAAGACAATACTTGTTGATTCTTTGTTCAAACTATTAAAAGAACTCTGTCAAAAGCATTTGCATTTTGCGACTCCCTCAAGAAAGTAGTAGCCTTAGCCCTGTGGAACTCGTTAAGATGCTTGACAATCCTGCATTTCCAAAACATAAGTGTTAATAAGCAAGGACATGGATGCAATGAGATAGTTCTCCATTTGTGCAGAACAACAAATCAAATCAGGAGTAGAAGAACAAATGACCAAAGAAACTCGTTTCGGATAACTGTTATATCGATACAAATTGAGAGGAAAACACTTTCAATAAATTCAAAAACCTTCAAGAGCTTGTTCTACAGCTTTCCAAAATAATCTAAAACATGTCTCAGACACATTTAATTGAAAAAGAGATTGATTCTTCAATTTGTCCACGACATGTCGATTTGAAAACAGAAAGAAAGTTTCGCTATTTATGATAATGTTTCCAAAGCAGGATTGACAGGATAATTTGTCATTAAAGCTTGAGTCAACAGGTTCACATAAATAGGACAGGGGCAAAAGCATAAAGATATCAGCAACAAGCATACAATTCACAATTATATACAAACCCACACTTTCACACGCTAATATTTGGAAAAAAGAGAAAGGAAGTTCACACACATCAGAAACATCAACATAGATAATCCACACAAAGCCTAATACTAACCATACAAATATGTACATCAGTATCAAATACATGATAGACACATGAAGCAATTCTTCAATATCATCACCATACGCATATACCAGAGCGTCGATAGAAGCAGAGGAGTAAGAACCAATACCTAGGAAATTGTCGACGTTGATTTTCTGCGTCGGAATCTTTGTCGAAATTCTTAAAAGTGAAAAGGAGAATTTCACACGCTCAGTGAGGAGGCCGAATTCATTCGGTTATCACCAATCGCAAATACACTACAATAGACAAGCAGGTAGACGCAGAGGTTCACACATTTGCAGAAAGAAGTAGAAATGAGGTATTCACGAACGAAAGGGGAAATCATAACATTTAACGAGAAGATCAAAAGTTAAACCTAAAGTATACCTGAATTCACCTTCAAGTAAGTTGATGCCTTAATTCCATTATGTTTCCATGATTTAAGCTATGAGGTCGTCACGAGTCAAAGTTGAATTTGAATCAAGTGCGTTGTGAGCGAGCGAGCAGAGATTTAAGACACGATGAGAAAGAAAAGCAAAGGAGCGAGGGTGGCTGAAGCGGACATCGAGAGAGAGATGAACAAGAGCAAGAAACGCGATGCGACAAGAGAGATGGTGAAAAGCTTTTTTACGAGTGAGAAAGGTACTGTTTTGGGAGAGAGAGAGTTTAATTTGGAAATGAGAAATCTAAGAGGAAATGAGAAATCTAAGCGTTTAATTTGGAGAGAGAGTTCAAGAGCAAAATTATAGATATGTTTATTTCTTTTTTAATAGCACTTTTTTTAAAAGTGCTATTATAGATATGTTTATTTCTTTTTTAATAACATTTTTTTTAAAAGTGCTATTATTGATATGTTTGTTTCCTTTTTAATAATAGTATTTTTTAATAAAGTGCTATCAAAATCACATTGTCTACACTCTATAATAGCGCCAGACCATAAAGTGCTATTATAGATATGTTTGTTTCTTTTTTAATAGCATTTTTTTTAAAAATGCTATTATAGATATGTTTGTTTCCTTTTTAATAATAGCGTTTTTAATAAAGTGTTATCAAAATCACATTGTCTACACTCTATAATAGCGTCCGACCATAAAGTGCTATTATAGATATGTTTGTTTCCTTTTTAATAGCATTTTCTTTAAAAGCGCTATTAACTTAGGCGATACAAAATATCAATTTTGGCGTAGTGTATATTCAATGGTGACTCTACTGAATTTGAATTGTGGAAAAGAAAGATGTACACATATATCATCAGACTTAATGATGAGCTATGGGATATTGTTGAGGATGGCATTAACATTCTTGTAGGTAGTGTTGGTATGGTTGCTGACAGAAAAGCTCTAACTCCAGCTCAAAAGAAAATCTACAGAAAACATCACAGAGTCAGAGGTATTCTGGTTGATGCACTTTCACATGTTGAGTATTTGAACATCATTGATAAGTCTTATACTAAAACTATATTTGAATCAACATGTTCTACTTATCAAGGAAATCAACAAGTCAAAGAAGCCAAAG